GAAAACTCATACTCTGAATTGTTAAAACTATCATCGGTATCGAATGGAGGAAAGTATTACATAAAATTCGCAACAAATGTCTTTTTGGTTTGTGTTCAACAGCTTCATCCAAAGCATTCCAAGCTTCTTCAAGTTGGGGATACTTTCCTTTAAGTAAAAATACCATGATCCAAATAATTGAATCATTGGTAAAGTTTATAAGATAATATTGATGACAATTAGCTAAACATTGACCAAAGATAAGTATGAGAGTAAATTTTGCACATTCCAATCCGAAAACAAGTTTATATGCTACTTGAGCATATCTCACAGCCCACTTATAAGAGTAAGCATCATTGTTACTATATTCACAAACATAAAATCGTAGATGAGGATTAATACTAAGCGTATCATTCATGCCATATGGTGCCATTATTGGAGGTTGAGAAAGTGAAGTAAAAGGAGAATTAATTGACTGATCAACAAAACAAGTGATTGGTGCGCTTAAGCATTCTGTTGTAGGAACTTTATTCTCTTCATAAATAACAAAGTAAGTGGCTGTATTACTATCAACAGCAGTGACGAGGCTAACAAGTGGATAAGATGTTTTATTATTCGTAGCATTTCCTACTATACCGGAGTAGCCAAAATCATAAGGCGCAAAATTAGCATTGGCATTATTTGAACTGTCATATGTTATTGTTAATCTATTCACTATATAAGCAGTTGTATTCATCCTTGGAAGAGTGGATAAACCCCAAATTTCTACGTTCTTGAGAACATCCGAATAATTCCATTGTGCAAGATTGGTTTTGTAAGAAAGAGAATCACTATTTGTGAAGCGTTCAGCGTGAAAATCTGTGCATTTCTTATAAGTAGTTAATGTTGTAAGAAAGCCAATACTTGTGGCTGTTATACCAACGCTTATAAACATCCAAATGATAGTATATGACTTCATGGTTAAAAAAAATTTGCAGTGTCGAGTGTTTATTTTAATTTTTATATATTTTTTTTTTAATATCTTTGAAAATTCTTAATATTTAGTTAATTACAAATATATATTTCATTTTACAATAATTAAACGAAATGATATATTAGACAATAGATTTCATCTAAATGACCGATAAGATAGTACATTATTTACGTTTCATCAAAGTCTTAAAAAAAGTCTTAAAAAAGTCTTAAAAAGTACTAGATACTTCTTTAATTACAAAAAAATTAGGAATTTTTTTTTATTTTTTATTTAAAATTTTTTTTCTTTCTTTTATTATTATCATGGGTCGAGAAAAACGAAAATACAAATTTCCATTTAATTAAACCATTTAAAAATATTTTTGTAACGTTTATTCCTTTTGTTAGATATAAGTACTTATCTCTCAAATTTAACTACTTTCAATGGATGTTCATTTAAATCTTAAATTGCCTTTATCATTATCAATTTCCGGAGTAAATCTCCATGATGAATTACCTTACTTGAAATACAGTATTCTTGAATTCATATGATCGTGACAGGTTTGGACTTTTTATTATCGTTTACAACCCCATAAAAGACTTTTTGTAATCTAATAAAAAGAAACTATTGTATATCTTATTTAATCTGTGTAAATATACAGTAGAAACTTACACTGATAATTCACTGATATCATTTACAATGCATTTAAAATATTCAATTGCATTAATGATTGCCTATCTTATAGAAATCAACAAGACATAAATTCGAACTAAACCCGGGACAATAAACAAATAAAGAATATTTATATAAGAAAATGTAATAAAGCGAATTATAAAATAAAAAAGAGAAAATATAACCGAGTATGTCACGGGAGGACCATGACAACCAGTTAGGTTAACCAGATAGACACCATTAACGTTAAAAGATTAAAAAAATTTTTTTAGGCGGTTTCAAATAATTAAATATAATAAAAGTTCTTTTAAAAATATTTAATTAGTAAAATTTGTAAAACTTTAAAAGGTAAAAGAGAAATCTATTAAAATAAAATACCGTTAAAAGTAAAAATAAGAAAGAAAAATAATACAAATTACCATCATATGATTCGAGAATGATTCAAGCATTCTCTTGAATTTAATTCGTGAGTTATAAGTTAACACGAGTTCCCAAGTATTATCATGATGAATTGTTTGCAAAATTAATAAGTGAAGCATCATTTTATTATCTAATCTTATTAATCATTTTATTATCATATTAGTCATTATTTTTTAATGTCAGATTCATATATATCAATATACCAATGATATCAAAACAATATAGTATACTACTGTACTATCAACATAATCATCAGATCATATTTATCGTAATTATCCACATAGCACCTTTTTTTTCTATAAAAATAACTTCAATTTATGAAACAAAATTGTATTCATTACGATAGTCAAATTCAATTATCACTAAAAAATTCCAAAATTTAACGCACCTCATTTATACACATTTTGAAATGTCCTTTGTTGAAGAAGATTTTGAAGAAATATCATAAACAAAAAAAAAGAAGTTAGAAAGATATTGCTTATTGGCAGAACTGGAAGTGGTAAATCTACACTCGCTAATGTTTTAGTTAATATAGAGCAATTTGCAGTGAGCAATTCAAGCGGTAGCTTAACAAAATCAGCACAATCAGGATTTTTCGAGGAGAATGGAGTAAAATATCAAGTAATTGACACGATTGGACTTTGTGATACAATGATGACAAAAGAAAAGGAAATGAGTGAACTAGCAGAGACTTGCAGAATGCTAGAAGGAGGTCTATACCGAATTCTTTTAGTAACTGGTGACAGATTTACAGAAGAGGAAAAAGATATGTACTATACAATGAAAGAACTATTTTTGACCATAAATTTACACACTATACGACCATTATTCGTACAAAGTTTCTGTATTTTATTAACGAGGAAGACTGTAAAAAAGAAGAAGAAAACTTGGCCAAAACAAATCCCGAATTTTCTAAAATAATTAAAGAATGTAAAAATATTGTTTTTGTAGATAGTCCGCCTTTGACAGGATTGCCTAAATCAATTGAAGCGAATAAAGAAGTACGAAAATACTCATGAAAAAAAATAATTGAAAGTTTCGCTTCTAATTGTGAAAAATATTATCCGCCTACCTTAAAAGAAGTAAGCGAAAAGTTAGTCTCTTGCTTTTATGGAAAAAGGGAAGTTAGAAGAAGATTTAAAAGAAGCAAAAAAAGCAAGTATTTTATCTGCTAAGGAAATAAAAGAGAATGAAAGAAGAATAAAAGAACTTGAAGGCGAGATAAAAAAGGCAAATGGTAAAAGCATTCGATTTTCCATTGGCCCCCCTGTTTCTTTATGTTCAATCCTGTAAAGTTTTTATATGTATATTTGGCTCAATTGTTTGTATTTAATTCAAAATAACGCCTATGCGCGTTATATAGATGGTATATATATTTTTTTCTATAATTTTAAAAACGTTTTAGAATAAAAAAATAAGTACTTATAACCATATTTCATGAATATTAAGTAATGAAATTCGAATGCTGTTTATGGAAAAGCTTTATATACATATAATGGAAGTTAATTTGTTATTACACTTTATGATCGCTAATATAATTTTTCTTAGGCTTTATAAATCTTTGATATAATAGTATATCTCTAGCTGTGTATAATTTCCGGAGGGAGGGACTTAAGTCCAGGCAATAAGTGAAAAAATTTGGGTTCCTTGCGGATTCCAGGAAGCATAATGTCTAATTATAATAACGTCTTTGTATGATTTTAAGTAGAACGTACGTACGTAAATAGAATCGAAACGGTTTTTTATCATGCATTTAAAAGTACGTCAGCCAACAACGTCTGACATGCATAATAAGAACTTTGTAAAAAGAAAAACTCGTTTGATTTTCGTATAACTTTTATAATGCACGCTCCCTACAAATAGTAAGCCTCCTTAATACACTTCTAAATGCACGGCTTTTCTAAATGCGCGTTGTTAAAGGTTAAATTTCATAAATTTTATTTTTTCATTAACAGGATGCTCTCGGGCACTTAAACGTTCATAACTTATAGCAAGAGAACGCCTTATAATATATAATTCACAATAAAGATAAAAATACATTGCATTACATTACATATTAATACATATATAATAAATGTTATAGATTATTTAGCATTATACTGTAATACTATATATATATATAACATTAAAACAATTATTCTCGTTATTAATAAGCTCCATTTAGAAATTCTTCAAAGTTAATCTGAGATTTACTAAAAAACAATGCACACGATTTTCTTTATTTTCTTGTAAACTTTATGTGAGAAAATGTAACCTTTGTAATTTATTTCAACACCAATTAGCAATGTTGTTATGTTTAACAGCTTGAATCTTTAATGCAAACCGTTTGAGACAATTTTGCTTGTTTACCTAAATAAATATATGGGCGTACCATGCGATATAAATTAATAAATTACTTGATTTGCAGATTATTAACCTTTTAAAAAACAAAAAAACAACTATCGGTACTCTATTTAGCAAAATGTCATTGTATTCATTTATACGTACGTATCGTTGACATTTAATATATATGTAAATATATTTACTTATGTATATCTAATATTAGTATCAGATACATATATGTATTTATGTAACATTGGTACGTAATTCTCCAAAACGTAAAAACTGCATTTAACTTTCACGATTACATTTTGCATAATTGTACACCATTCATAAATCCAAGACGTTTAGCTATTGTCATTTTATGTATAAATTATGGATCTCCTTAAGCTTTAACTGTGAGCTCAATCTACTTTAAATCAAAGGTGTTCATAATTGTTATAACTTTCTTCCTCCTCCTACTCTACTTCCTTTTTTTAAAGAAAAATATTTTTTTCACTGTAAGAATCCTATTTTTTTCTTTCAAATTCTTATACTTCTCTCTTGATTTTCTCTTGAAAATGAGGGTATCGTTCGTTACCACCATTGTTGTCATTATCACCACTTTGCTCTCTTTTGAAACTTTATTCGTTTCCGCGAACACACAATGCTTAGGAAGCTGTAATAAATCAAAGATAAAGGCTAATGGTACTCAAATTAAAACTGGTAAAGATAAAAGTGGTTTCTGCTCCAGTTTAATCCAAGGACAAATCCCTTCCAATTTGAATATGGTCTCTACTCTTATCCTTAAACCTACTAATGATGAACAAATAAAAGCAAACAAGACTTTTCTTGTAAAAATTAAGGTTAAAAATTTAAATACTGGATTTTTCAGTGACCCTAACACTGAATATTATACATCCTCACAAGAACTTGATAATAATGGATTGATTAAAGGCCATACTCATGTTGTTGTTCAAAAATTGGATGATGAAAATCCTCCTGATCCAACCGCATTTGCTTTCTTCAAGGGATTGAATGATAAAGCCGATAATGGTGTGTTGTCAACTATTGTTACCCCTGGATTACCAAGAGGTTTATACCGATTATGTACAATGAGCTCCTCCTTTACTCATCAACCGGTTATCATGCCTGTTGCTCAGCGCGGTTCACAGGATGACTGCGTTCGATTTAAAGTAGTTTAATTTTAATAATTTTAATAATTATATATAGATATGTTCTTTGTAATTTAATAATCTAATACGTAATCTTTAATTTACTTTCCTTTTTAATTAATCCCATTTTGTTTGTGATTATGTAGTGTTACTGTATAAGTTTAGCTATGTAGGAATTTTCATCAAAAAAAAGCGCGTACTGTACATATAGTAATTATTGATTTAATTAATAGCTTAATAGAGGATGATACATAAATGTAAACTTTTTGAGTTTAATCTATCTCAGGATAGTGTAAACACATAAAAATGAACAAGTTCAGATGCTCGTTAACAAGTTAACAAGTCATCTTATTTTACTCAAATTAATTACCAAAGGTAGTAAGATATAGCAAAAATTAAATCCATGCACAGCCACAATTTCTACCAAAATTAACGAGCGAAAAAATAAACAAGGATTTATAAACAATGATTTTCATCTCACATAACACTATGTATAACAATTGTTTACAATTTCTAACACTGCCCCAAGCACAAACCGGTTAAATCCGATTTTTCTTTACTATGATTTTGGGAACGATTTCCTCACGATTTTTTCGTTATTTCGTGGGTGATTCGGATCGAGTCTTTGTCACGTTTTCGGGTCTTGTGACGGCGAGTTTCTGCGGCGGGTTTGTCATCAACAGTATCCACAACTCCATATGCAGGATTATGAGCCGCGATTTGTGAAGTTGAATCACAGGCGTTGCGTGCGAAACTATGGTGGATTTTCTAAGACGGGTTGGGTTGTTCACAACCAGTGTGACAACGATCTTTTTTTAATTTTTTATTGTCTGGAGTGTAGCGGGGGATAATGCAATACAAAAATTCTCGGTTTTGATTTATTATTAATAAAAATATCAAAAACGTAGCTATTGCATATGTGTCACAATATGCGCAGAAAATGCAAAGTTACATTTTTTGATATTTTTATTAATAATAAATCAAAAACGAGAATTATTGTATTACATTATTCCCCACGCTACACTCCAGGCAATAAAAATAAAAAAAAAGAGCGTTGTCACGTTAAAGAGCACATTATGTCAAACCTGATAAATATGATTTTATTTGTGTGGGTTTGCAGGCTCAAGAATTATTGCAGCTTGAACTTTCTATGTTTCTACTATTAAATTATCGTTGATCTCCCAATAAATGCTGTGTACATAAATGTTGTGAAGCAACATTATGCATTACCAGAATTTCCGGAGCAGTAGCTCATAAGGTGGAAAATGTATATAAAGAGTTCCTTTTTCATGTTAATAAAGTATGAATTACACGATATCCTAAATTTGAGTTAATAAGCAGACCTTAAAATAAATTATGTCATGCACATTTCTCTCCTAACCAGTCATGATAATAGTTAAATTTAAAATACCTCATTTTTGGTTTTCTTTTGCAGTATCATACTGATATAATTTGATAATATTTGTATATTTTAAATAACAATAATTGTTAATCATAGATCGATATTATTTAATAAGGTCTCAAATATTCAATTCGTTAACGCACGGGATGAAATTACGAATTTCTGCCTAAATTAAGGTCGAACCGCGAAATAACGCCCATGGTCATTATTTGCGGCAATGCGGTATAGAACAAACAAGTTACTATCGCATTTCTAATCTAATAATAATAGTGTTCAACAGCTGTAAAATTCAAGATCTTATTTCGACATCACGAAGAAACGGCTATTTGCTTTTCACCAGAGTTCGCCAGGTTACTCTTTTCGTCTTTGGGTCCCATTAAGGTTTCAACTTTCGTCATCGCTCCAAAAATATTTCACCTAACGACTATCGCTATAGCTTGAAGATAATAATTTCTAAAATTGTCTGGTTAGTATATATTTGTAACGTGAGAAAAATAAATGAACAATTTTACTGTAAGCCTGCCTATTGGATAAATTTTAGAAATTGATAGTGACAGAAAGTTTTCAAAAGCAGGTTTTGTTACTATCGGCAAAGGTTTTAATAGAGCTACTACAATTTCTTGAATATTCTAAATTATGTGTCTTAACAAACCTCTAAGCCTTAATCAGAATAATACATGTAATATCATAGATACAATTCATATAAAGAACAACTAAGCAATAACAAAAATATTATTATTGTATTGATTTTTGAAATAAACTCAGTTCACATATACAGTATAATAACAATTGAGGGTTAGTAATTAAAGCCACGAGGCTGTAATTTCCTTGTAATGAATAAATAAACATGTTTATTTTGAAGGCTGACAAAAAGATTCCAAATATTAAAGTAAATTTTTACGTCTTTCTTTCAAAAAGAATTATCATTCCTTCTTATCTAAAAATGAGTTCATCAAAATCTGAAGAGCAGCCAATTAAAGATCAAGAGCAAACTTCAATTTCTTTTGATTTTTTGGTTCCGCATGATGGAAAAAAAATCCATAGACTTATTTGTTCACAAATATGAAATATATTGCGACTTTGAGTAATGAAGATCAATCAATTGTTGGATGGACAGTCGCAGATGATCTTACTATCAAATTTGATAATGCATTAAGCACAAATGAACTTAGATATATGTTAAAAACTGATAAAAAAACGTTCAAAGAAATATTTGAAGACAGTGATGCATTAATAGGGGTCTCAGACTGTAAACATATTATACTAAAACTAGACAAGTATCGGACTGATAATTTTAAAGTCGGTTAGTTAAAATTAATTTCTTTTTACAGTTTTAATTATATATTTTATATTATATTAATAAACAAAAATTTATATTTAACAGTAATTATTGATATCACAAATAAGTTGAAACAATTATTGAATGAGCAAGGTTTAAAAGAAAAAGTAGATAGCATTGCCTTTCTTGAAAATGGATATCTGGCAATTGCTAAAGGGGAGCCTATTTATCGGGCTTATATCTTTTCGAAATCAAAATCTAATGGACAAAATCAGTGGAAATGTAAACGTAGAATTGAACTCAAAAAATTTTCTGCTTGTCATATTTTACAAAATGGGAAGTTAATGATGTTTTTCAAAACTCCAATTATGATCACGCAATGGAACTTAATAACTCAAAAGTTTGAGATGCGATATATACTAGATTGGTATATGTGGCGTTCCTTAAGAATAAAAATGAATAGTGACAACACATTGCTAGCAGTAGCTTGTTCTACTTCTGTAAAAAGTATGGTCTATGTTTATTCAACAAAATCAGGTATAATGGTGTCAAATGGTAGGTATTTTGCATGTAAAGCATGGACATGGAAAAAGTGCGATTTTATTTATAAAATTTGAAATTCCTAATAAATAAAAATCGTACTTTTTCCGTGTCCCTGATGTAAAGTATCTGCAAATGTAAAATAGTATGATTATTGATTTTTTTTTTTTATTTAAAAATTTAGGTGCATTTGATGAGGGATTGCATAATCTCTGTTTTATTGGATTAGGGGAAGAAGAACGTTTATTTTTTTCTGGCCCACAAAAAGATTCGAAAAACTCACAAGAAGAGTTTGAGAGTTATAACTCTTATATATTGAATCCTCGTATTCGCATACTTGATAGGTCTCAGCATACTGATACCTTACGTGATATTTATTCTCCCACATTTCAAGATCACAAATCAGTTGGCCCTATTAATATTATCGCTGATTATATCATAAAAATTAATGAAAATTATTTGTCGATTCAAAAATTGTCTCAAAACAAAAGTTGGAAAGATTATATAGAACGTAAGGAGCGCTATACGGGTAATACATTCTTTCGTGTAAAAGAAATTAAGCAATTAATACAGGATACTTTGGAAACATATCAATCAAATCAAATTATAACATATTCAAATGTAACTAAAGAATATTCTGGAGATCCATACACCTGGATTGTTGAACATGAGCATGAGCCTTATTATGGTTCAAAAATACATTTTATGTATTTAAAAGTTAGTTCTGAGTCTGAAAAGGAAATTGATAAAGAACGATATCCTTTAGATAATGATATTTTGGAATATAAAGTGCTGGAAAATGGAGATATGCTGTTGATTTTCACTTCATGCATACAAATCGTGACAATAAAAAATGAAAAAACATCTAATAAAACATCTTGTGAATTAATTTATTGTTGGAAGGATAAATCTAAACCTGAAACAACTGAAACAGATGAAACAGATGAAACAGATGAAACAGCTGAAACAGATGAAACAGCCAAAAAATCCATAATTAGACTTCTATCTTCTTTTAATAATGAATTAAAACCTGACTCCGAGATTTTACCCCCACCAACTTTCAATGTAGTTGTCAAGGCAAAACTCAGTGATGGAGAATATTTTTCTGATTATTGCACCTTAAAATATAATGAATTAACATTAAAATTATATGGAAAAAGTCTATTACATGAATTGGTTCAAAATAAAAATAATTCCGAAATTGAGGGATTACTTGAAGAATGTTATAAATATAGCTTATTAATGATTAAAAGTGGTAAGATTTATGACTTTAATTTGTTAATAAGTCAAATTGCTCTTGCACTGATAGAATTGGAAGGATATAATAAAAATTTAAGAGCTACAGAAATATTTTTATCTAAAACTAACTTGTTGATTCCTGATGATTATGATGGTGCTATAAATAGAGCTTCTCGATTAGTTCATTTTCAGCATAGTGGAATGTATATTCGCTTGCGTTATTTAGTTAATACTTCACTTTTTGATCGAATGTTTTTCTGGGTCTCTAAAAAATTGAGTCTTTTAAAAAAATTTTGTCCTCAAATTTATAATATTTTAATATATCCTTATTCATTTTATTTGTCTTACTTTACTATTTATCCTAAAAAGACTGTAAAGTTAATGATTCCTTTATTGGGATTTGCCACATATCCCCCAAATTTTTCTTATAGTGAATTATTTTGCTTACATGATAATCCATTTACTTCACTATTGGATGATTCCAGTTATTATGGATATTGGAATATTAAAGCACTTATCTACTTCAAGTGGAATACCTATGGAAGACGGTATTACCTAATAATTTGGACAATATATACAATTTTTATGTGCTGTTTTTTAATAGTTTCAACAATTCCAAAAGATGAAATCTATCAAATAATTTTTTTGTATGCAACTATTTGTCTTGGATTTACTCATTTTATTCTTGAGGTTCGTCAATTCATTCATAAACCAATATCTTATATTACGAGTCCTTGGAATTGGTTTGGTATATATAATTTATTTTTATAATCTGTTTAATATTATATACGTATGTAGTATTAAAAATTTTATTTAATTTTATAGATTTTGTTGCAATATTAATTCCAACAATAACTTCATTAATATGGTTATTTGTTGAAACTCCACCAATTTGGATTATAACTATTGCTTCTCTTTTACTTGAAATTAAATTTTTATTATATTTTCGTGCTTTGGGATATTTTGGAAAATATTTTGCAATTATGATTGGAGTAGCACAAAAAGTTTTTTCTTTTCTTGTTGTTTTAGGCATTATTGTTTTGGCTTTTGCCCATTCTTTGCATCTTTTATTAAGACCTACTAGTAAATATTCTTATGATCAACCAAGTAATACTGACGATATTAATAATCCTTGGAATCTTGTTCCAACATATCAATTTGTTTCATCTAATGGTACCGTTAGTAAATCGTCACTTATTGAGACTCCAGATGATAATACAAATATGTTTTCATATTTTAGTACTTCTGTTTTAGCAGTATATTTTATGCTAACGGGTATGTATTTTATATAATTATAAATTAAATAAGATCAAATAAAATATACATATATATATTAATTATATTTTATTTTAGGAGATACAAGTTCAGTTTCTTCATGGGTTTTAAATAATAATTGGACTTTAGCATTTTTGTTAGTTATATTTTCATTCTTTACAACAGTTTATTTAATGAATCTATTTATTTCATTACTTGGAAATGCTATTGATGATAAAAATAACGAAGAATCTTTTTTGCAACTAAGAGGGGAGGTAAATTAATTTTATTTTGTTATAATTAAAAAAACATTATAAAATAATTAATATGTTTTTATTATTAGATATTAACTGAAATTGAACTTTTTTGGATGTTACCATTTCAAAGAAGAAAGAGAAACTGGTTTCCGGAAATTTTGTAATTATTAATATTCTTATATAACCGTATTGTCGCGAAATAACGGGCATGGGCGTTATTTAGAAAATCGCGTCCCCTAAAAATAGAGTGCATGGTTTCAAAATAGCGCCCATGTAGCGCTCCAAAATGCCGCGCACCTCACTGATTAAAAAAAAAAAAAAACATATTTTAACTAAATAATAGCCAGTAATATATAGTACAAATTATAACTTATTTATTATATATTTACTAGGATATACGTAATTTAATATATTTTTAGTTAATATGGGCTGCCGTCAATAGAAATCAAACAATCTACATTTTAAAAAAAACTTAATGCCTTACCTTTCATAGCTCATATCTCGATGAATTTTAAAGCTATCTTGATGTTTTAATATTCAAAAGAAAGATTAGATAGTAAGCTTTCTTTAGAATATTAAATCATCAAGATAGCTTTAAAATTCATCGAGATATGAGCTGCGAAAGTTAAAGTATTGATTTTTTTTAAA